TCCGCCCGCCTCGGCCTCCCAAGAGCTAGGATTACAGGCGTGAGCCACAGCGCCCGGCCTGAGGACTCTTTTGATTTCCATCTTAATTTCATTATTGACCTAATAACCATTCAGCAACAGGTTGTTTAATTTTCATGACTTTATGTATATTTGAGTGTTTCTTTGAAATTCATTTCTAGTGTTTTTCCACTATGGTCTGAGAAGAGACATGGTATGATTTGATTTCTTTGAATTTGTTGAGACCTGTTTTGTGACCAATCTTGGAGAATGTCCCATGTGTTGATGATTAGAATGTATGTTCAGTTGTTTTGGGGTAGAATATTCTATAAATGTCTGTTAGTTACATTTGTTCTAGGGTCCTGTTTGAGTCCAGTGTTTATTTATTTTCTGCTTTGATGATTTGTCCAGCTCTGTCACTGGGTGTTGAAGTCGTTGGCAATTACTATGCTACTGTCTATCTCTTTTCTTAGACCTAGTAGAATTGGCTTTATAAATCTGGGCACTTCTGTGTTAGGTGCATATATATTTAGGATTGTTACATATTCTTGTTGAATTGCTCCCTTTACCATTATATAATGACCATCTTTGTCTTTCTTTACTATTGTTGATTTAAAGTCAATTTTATCTGATATAAGAATAGCTACACCTGCTCTTTTTTGTTTTCTGTTTGCATGGAAAATTTTTTTCTATCCATTTACCTTGAGTTTGTGTGAGGCCAAGGTGAGAGGATCACTTGAGGCCAGGAGTTCAAGATCATTCTGGGCAACATAGAGAGACCCTGTCCCTACAAAAAATAAGAAAAATTACCCAGGCGTGCCTATAGTCCCAGCTACTCTGGAGGCTGAGGTAGGAGAATTGGTTGAGGCCAGGAGTTCAAGGCTTCAGTGAGCTATGATCATGCTACTGAACTCCAGCCTGAACAACAGAGCAAGACCCTATCTCAAAAAAAAAAAATTAAAATTAAAAAAATTTTTAAAACTAAAAGCAGACTTAGCATACGACCCAATAGTTGCACTTGTAAAAACCTGATATGAATGTTCACGGCAGCTTTATTTATAATAGCTAAAAATGAGAAACAGCCGAATTGTGTCATTTTTATAATAAATATTTTATTTTATCACCTCTGTTAATATATTTAGGAGTAAATAATAAATCAATATATATTTTGATTGTTCCTTCTGACATAAAGTCAGTACAATAAACCAGCACATCATCACTTATAGTTGTAAGATTACTTCTTTAATGCATCAGATAAATTATGCTAAAAGTAATCTGGTTATGACACATTCCTTTAAATGAAAAGATGCTGTGAAATGTGTTATTCACCAGTTTTTACATAATATTTACTGTCTAACGCCAACACACTTTTGTCTGGAATTTTACAAAATGACAGTTATAGGATAGAGAGTTTTGGGCTCATAAGCAGATACAAAGTAGAAATGAAAATGAGGGACAACCCAATTTATGTGACATTACACCAAAGTTATCTGTGTCCTGTTAAATTGGATAAAGGGAGATTGTACTAATAGCAGAGCATTTATACTTTTATTGTTAAAATACTAGGGATTTATATCATATTTCCCCCTCCTACACACAGGTCTGGGAACAGGTCAAGACTTCTTAATGATCACCCCTCTCAAAATGATGTACAGATAAAGGATTATGATTATGTCAACAATGGACCTGCCCAAAGACATAGGAATTTTTATGAATATCAGCATAGTGACAGCAAGACAGAAAAGAGACAGCTGATATTTTGGTAATAAGGGGCCAGGACCAAGATATTCATTTTTTGCTAATCACCAGTGTTATGATGTCCCCCCAAGAAGGAATGTATTTCAATAATAATGTACCTGGAACAAGACCAAGACCATTTCATGATCACCAGCCTCACAGTAACTTCCATGAACCAGACCCTAGAGATGATTTTGATTTTGTTACCAAAGTTTGTGGACAAAGGATGCATGCTATTCATAACCAATAGGACTATAGTAACTTTCAGGAATAATTTTCAAAGAAAGATTTTGGTTTTGTTAGCAGAGGCCAAAGATGAAAATAATTGCCGCTCCATAACACCCATGAGTACCCACCATATGGTGATTTTCAGGATCAGTTACCTATACAAGGTTTTCATTAACTCAGCAGAAGTGATTTTCAAAGGCAAAGACCTTTCCACATCAGCACTGTTCTCATGATGAGATGAATTTGGAGGATTTAGAAAATACAGAAGTATCAGAACATATACTGAGACCTTTACATGACCATTCCAACAGTGACAGAAAAAACACTTGGATTGTTGTGTAAGAGAAGGCATAAGCTTTGTAAGTGGCACTTGAGCTGGCCCACTATAGAGCAGGCTGCCTATGGAGGACAGCATTCAGGTAGTAAATGAACACTCATCTGAGAGCCACTAAAAAACTCCATGGAGTGAAAAAGTGGTCTAGATCTTTGATACCCGAAGTGTGGTCCCTGAACAGACATATTGACATTACCTGACAGTTTGTAAAACCTCAGCACTCACCTCAGACTGACTTAATCATTTTTTATTAATTAAAATTAAATAGTTTTGATTCCAGCAAGATCCCTGGTTGATTTGTATACACATTAAATTTGACAAGCACAATCTTTTAGGGTTCAATCTAATCCTTAAATTCCACTTTAATAAAGTGTACGACAAAGTGCTATTTGGTCAGCTACACAGAAACTAAATGGATGTTCCAAAAAGGAAAAGTTCAGTGTGGATAGAGTAATCAAAGAAAGCTTCATCAAGGAATGAAGAATTGAGCTGGTCATTAAAATCTGGAGAATGAAGTTGGTCATGTCAAGAGAAAACATAAAGAGAGTGAAGCAGAAATAGTGGTGTGGACCAGCCCACCAGGAACAGAAGAGTTTGTAGCTGGCAGTGACAGGGAGATTGGCTGGGTTACGTTAGGTCCTATGAAAATACCCTGGAATTCAACTTTTCAAAAAGAAATAGATCACATATGTTGCCCCAAGGAGCTTTACCCAGACACTGAACAGAATGGTTTGAGTGCTCTAATGGAGGCCCAGGGAAAGGGCTGTGGTAGCATAAGGAAGTATTCTTCAGTTCGAGATCTAAGAAGAGCATTTGAGTTGAACTTTGAAGGTAAAGTGGGGCAAGGGTATTCCAAGTTGAGCAGACAACCTGAATAATGTCTACCTAGCTGAAGTGTAGGGAATATCAGAGGGGTGGCATGGGATGTGACTTTGAAAAGAGCTGACAGCTCTAGATTGTTGAAAGCATTGAATGTCTGCTGGGGACTTTGACTTTATTTTGTAAGCAGTGGAAAGCCTCCAGTGGTTTTAGTTGGGAAGCAGTGTGATTAGGCCTGCTTTTTATAAAGATTAATCTGGCAGCAATAGATTGGAGGCAAAACCTGGTATTTCTGGTATCAGTCCAGATGACATATATTATAGATCTTTACTGGGGTGATAACAGTAAGATTTGTGTTAGATTCATGTGCAAATAAAAAGTTGGGTAATTAGCTGTACATTGTCCTAAACATATAAAATAAGAAAAATAAATAGATACATAGTCTCTTAGGAAATCTCCCAGTGTAGAATGTGAAGTTAATTAGGGAGCTGTCAGAGCATCCTGATTAAGGTTATGGAAAATAGTTGCAGACTGATAATGTCTTGGAAATTTTTAAAGACTTTTTTTTAAAGAGAATATTCCTTTAAATGTTGTAATTTACAGGAAACATGTATGTTTCAGTTAATGAGACACTGGTAGATTGAACCATCTTGCCCAGTGCTTCACTCCTTTCCTGTGTTGGAATTAATCATCCATGCCCTTTGCCATATATCTTGTCAGTTCTTCCCAGTGTTTCTCTAATTTGTTTATAATGTATTGAGCTTGGTCATATGACTTGTGTTGGTCAATAGAATGTGGATGGAAGTGATAGGGGCCCCATCCTGGCCAAGGCCATAAGAGATATCCTATTAATAGTTTTTTCTCACTCTCAATGCTGTTCATCATGAGAACATGTCCCAAGAAGCCACTAGATGAGCAGAATGAGAGAGACATGGAACAGTCTTGATCCAAACTTGAAGTAGAGATACTCAGATGGCATGCAGACCTGGGAACATGAAAATCAGTGTTTATTGTGGTAACCCACCAAAACTTTGAGGTTGTTATAAAAAATAAAAAGCCTAATATAACCTGAAATAAATGTATGGTTAGCGAGCACAGCTAGTTATGAGCAACTGTCATGTGTTCTAACAGGATAGTAACTACAGAATTTGAATAAGAGTGTGACCACACAGTTTGGGTGAAATTCAGTTCATCTTTTAAGCTGATGATAAATGGGAATATATTTTAATAGTAATTTTACCATTATGTGGCAAACTTTGTTCTGTAAGCTATTAAAATACTGATCTTTATTTAATATTCAAATTTACATTTTGAGTATGGAATGTAAGCATCAAGGATTATCCTGTATTATCTTTAAATCCAGATGAAATTTTCCCAAGGTCTCTCATCAGGCATCTTGGCCTGAATGACAGTTGTCTTTGCCTTCACCTGAAGGACTTTCATGTAAGTGCAACAAAACCTGAGAAATAAAGTGAAATTCTGAGCTGGAATCTGAAAGGGTTGTTGAAGAATAATGTTAAACCTCACATATAATAAATAATAGCAATAAAGTAACAGCATCTGTAGCTATTGAAATCCTTCACCCCCAAGGGAAAGACAATGAGGACTTAGTCTCTGTGTCTTTTTAACTTTACATGTATTTTTTTGGACATGTGCTGTCCAGTATGGTAGCCACTAGCTACACATGTGCTGAGCACTTGAGGTGTGGCTAGTCCTAATTAAGATGTGCTAAAATGTAACATACCCAACATATTTTGAAAACTTAGTATAAAAAAACAAATATTAATAATTTTTATATTATTGAAATGATAACATTTTAGATTAATCACTTTCTTAAACTTTCCTTAGTTACTCATCTGTTGAGTGTACCATCTGTTTTTTGCAGGGACCTTGACTAATACAACACTACAATGAAGTGTATTTTTAAAAATTTTATTTATTAATATATCACATTATATATTTCTTATGAAGAAGTGGGTAAGTTGAAAATTTTATATTTCTCTCTCTCTCTCTCTCTCTCTGTCACACACAGACACACACACACAGAGCCTAATTAAGTAGCTTCATTCTTTATTCTACAGAAGTAACCACTTCTGCTGACTTTCTCCCTTGTGGGTTCATAGGGAAAAAATTCCCACCTCATTGTTATCTTTTGAACAGAGTTACTAGAACCAAGTTTTAAATCCTGAGTGACAGTCCAGGGAAGAATGGTAATCAATTATAACCAGTGGCCAATTCAATATTAAAATTAGTTGATAGTGACCCATCTTATTTCACCTACCCCACCCAGAATGGCCCAAAGCAGATTCCTGGATCTGCCTCAAAACCAACCCTCTCTCCAGCAGAATTGAGATTAGGTTGTGCCTGCTAACTGTCTCCATAATTGGAGATTTTGACAAGTGGAGTTTGGCTCCCCAGATACCCAAAGGATTTTTCTTTTGGAACTAGGCAACAAAACAGAAATGGAATAAGAAAATATTTGTGTTTTCTGAAGGAAACTTGTGAATTATTATATAATTCCAACTTGCTGAGGGGAAGTGTTTAGAAAAGAAAAAGCAATAGACTTGAGGCAGAAGACATGAGTTTGGGTATCATCTCTGCGATGTAGTAGTTTGTACGACCCTTGTTTCTAAAATGGAAATAATAATTACACCCTCATGGTTTGTGGTCAAGATCAGAATAGATAATGTGCATGACAGTGCTTTGTATATGCAGACAGAAGAAAGAAGGGGGCTGTTATTGGCTCAACTTATTTGATCTTTATTTCCATCATCTCATCAACTACTATTTATTTGATGCTGATCTACTATGGCAGTAAATGAGCTGTATAATTAAGAAGCCAGGAGTATGGGAACCACTGATTAACATCATTGCTACACATTACCATAGAAAGTACAAGAACAGAGTATCTGTGTTACCATGACATCCTTTGTGGACTTAATATTAAATTACAAGCCCATCAAGAACACATCATCTGTTTGCTTTCCTTTCTACCATGCCCCATGAACCCTGTATTCATGTGGATCATGTGAAGTTTAAGGTACATGCTTGGAAGTTATGAAGAGACAGCCTATTATATTCAGGAAAGAAAATAATGATTAAGTGCATGCCATACTTTTGCTCAGCCATGTAGGCAAATGACTTCTCTGAGATTCAGTTTCTGTTTCTGTGAAATAGAGGTGGTAATAGCTGCCTTCTTCAGATTATTGTGAGGATTAAATGAGAAAATGAATGCAATGCACTTGAGCACAGAGCCTGGTACACCACAAATGCTCAGTCAATAGCAGATATAACAATATAAGCAACTAACACTAGAAAGAGACTTTGAACATATCCCAATTTGGCTTCTGATTCCTAATCAATGTCCAAAGAATTCAAATGTGAGTAGCAGAGAAGAAAATAAAAAGTTCCTGTGCACAGCTATTTGAAGTTTATATTCACCTGGCTGTTGTAAAAAATGGCTTGGTTGTTCAAGAGATGCAGAGACATATGGCTTCTAGTTTGTGGGAGAGATTTTTCTTTCCCCAATAAGCTCAACAGTCAGTCCCCAGATCCAGAGATGGAGAGCTTGGGACAAGATCAGAGTAATACATCACCACTCAATCCTGCTCAACAGGTAATTCTTGCAGTAATCGTTAAGGGGAAGGCATATAGGATCTCTTCATCTTTCTATCTTTCCAGGCTGCTTCTCCCACAAAATATTCCATGGAATAAGTAAATAAAGCCCATACTTTAAAGCCCACTGCACAACGGTGGTGCAGACTTGGTTCCTGGCACATTTTGATGTGTAAACACCATGAAGGACAAAAGCATGCTACTCCATACTAATGCCACCCTCTCACTAAATTAAACCCTGTGACAATGAGATGTGGCACAGCTTTAAAACTCAGTGAGACATCTTAGCAGGTGCAGTTGTTAACTGAAAGATTTATGGTTTGTGCCTACCCAGGATGGTCTTACCTCTAGACAATTTTTTGATGATGAAAATGTTCTGGAACTAAATAGTGAAGATGGTTGCAAAACATTGTGAAGATACTAAATGTCATTGATTTGTACAGAATTGAATGCTGAAATGGTGAGTTTTATTTATGTATATTTTACCTTAATAAAAACAAAACCTCATAAGATGTGTTGGAGGATGCATTTTCCTGACCCTGAGTTGTAACTATATTTTTCTTCCTGACATGTATATGTCTACTATGTAGTAAGCCCTGATATTTGAATGCTTGTATGAACATCTGCTTTTTAAAAATCTCTGCTCTGAGTGTTCCTCTCTATACTATTTGGCATCATGATCATCAGGAATATGTGACTCATTCACATCCCTGTTTTGGATGGAATTAATATTAATAATTGTATTAACTGCAAGAGTACATAGATTCCCTTGTAAAACTCTTTGGCCTTACCACATATTTGCCTACTCTAGAAAATTTTTCAACCAAAGGGCAGCCTTTTGTTGGAGTGGGATGTGTGTCTTCCTTCTTCAAAGGCATCATATGGCGTTATTAATAAATGGGAAGCAGGAGAGAGAGCTTCTTAAAGAATACAATTGAACCAATTCCTGAGATTCTTCTTTTAACCAGTTCAACTTCCCAGCACAGGACTCAGGACTCTCCGTTTTTCTAGGCAAAGTCGATATTGTTCTTTTATAAAGCAAAGATCATGAAAAGTGGCAGGCCTTCACAACCAACACAGCACAGAGTACAAAGGAGAAAGGGGGTAGCTAAAAAAGACTCACAAAAGAGACATGTCTACCAGAAGTCCTTGTGGCAGAGGGTGGTGAATACCTCCCAAAGAAAGACTTCATCAAAAGCCAAGGAAGCTTCATGCTGGTCAAGACTGGCCCTGGCAAGCAGGGAAGAATGACCTTGAACACCACGGTGTAGGAAATTGCTCCCTGGGCAAGTTTTTTTTTCTTTCTCACTCCAGTCAGCAGATTCCAGCTGTTCTCGCTATACCACTTCCTTTGAGAAAAATGAAGGCTTATGAAAGATAAACAAGCCTGTGAGGACCACTGCAACAAGTATCAGGGAGAAGAGAACCATGAGGAAGACATAGGTGGAGTGGGGGAGAGGTAAGGATATAGGCTTCTCAGCTGGGATCATGTTGGTCAGGTTCAGCATGTAGCCCAAAGTCCAGCCGGCGTCGCTGCCCTGGATCTGCAAACAGTGGGGAAAATCTGTTGTTTGTGGTTCAAGAAGATAAGGTGTAGCTTTCATGCAACCCCATCCATAACACTGAGCACCCAATAGGTGGAGAGACCACATTCGGTTCTCTAAATGGATTAATTTTATATTCCAAACTGGGAGGATGGTTTTAGGGAAAATAGAGAGTAAGAACAAGTAGATTAAGAAAGAGAGTTTGGAGCCTCACTACTATATTCCCAAAGTTCAGAGAGGCATCTGGTGAATGACTGCCCAATTTTCCTACCTAGAAGAACTTAATTCAAATAGACCTTTGGAGCTTTGCATTCCTTTTTTCTTGTTTCTGTGAATTTGGGGGGAGGAGGAGTGGTGAAGGGTAACAGGAAGCAGACAAAAGAATAAGGCAATAGTGATTGTTCCTGGCCTTTTACATCTTCATGAGGCCTAGGAAACTCATCCATACAAAACCAGGACTTCTCAAGTAGGGAAAAATTAGGGAATAATCCCAGCAAGTCAATCTTACTTTATGGAAATTGGAAGACTATGCATATACATGAGAATGGATTCTTATTAAATGATAAAACATGTTCTGACCTTCCCATCATCCTAGGAATATTTTCCAGTTACCTTAAAACATATTGGAATATAGGTGGTCTGTGGCTAATAAATAATTTTGGAATTTTTTTTATTGCATAAGCTGTGTATGGTCATGGTAGAAAAATTAGGAAGTACAGATAAACCTAAAGAAGAAAATAAAAACCATCCATACTTCACCATGCAGAAGTTGCTGCTGTTATCATTTTGTGACATATTCTTCCAGTCCTTTCTGCATGTTTTTTCTTACCAAAAATGGCATTAAATTGTATGTAGAATAATTCACTTAACAATACCTTGTGAACATTATCCTATGTCTCAAGATATTTCTATATCCTCAGTGGCATGAACTGCCTTATACATTCACTTTTACTCACTTTATCCAATTATCATAAATTCTAGAAACAGAGTAATTAGACAAGATGATGTGTACATTTTTAAAGGTTTTTAGCACACATTATCAAAACAGTCTCTCAAAAAGTTGTGCCAGTTTACACTCCAACCAATATCATGTGGAAGTTCCCTCTCCTCTAAACTCTCTAGGGATTAATAGTCTGTAAAAGATCCACTCCCCTCTGGAAGATGGAAACCTTATGTATAGCCTGTGTCAAAGAAGGATCCAGAGCTATAGAAGTTATCACCTCAGGCTTAGAAAAGCTGGATCATGCTTTGGAGAAGTTCAAAGAATAGCTCAGGACTTCCCTGCATGTCAGTCCTGAATTTGACATAGACATATCCCTAATGGAAGGAAGTCTGGGATATGAAAACAAGAAAAAGATTTGATTTGAATTAGCATGGGCAGTACTGACAAGAGTGTAACGAAACTAGTATCCTCAGGGCTGCTACAGCCCTCTGCTCAATCATTTGTTTTGCTTAGAATCGCCATATTTAATATGGGGGTAAATGTTTTTGCCATTAGTGAGCATGGGTTTAAAAAGATGGAAGAAACACCACTGCTCTCAATATTTTTCATAAAGCAGAAGTTGCTAAACTGATGTAAGTATGTCTCTATTCCTGCAGGTGGCGCCATGATAAAGCACAGCAGTCAGGTTGTGTACCATCATTTATAGCCACTCAAGTCCCCGTCCTCACACAGAGCTTTCAGATTGGTCAACTTTAAAGTAACAACCAAAAAGGATGATGAAACCATGGTTATCCTTGCCCAGATTGTGGAAGGGGCCTTTGAGAATGTTGTTGAAGGCAGCACACAGAATTACTGTGACTACTGAAATGCTGTTACTTTAAAATTTCACTTTTTTGTTTTGTAAGGAATTAGCCACTGTTGTGTGGGAAGGAAGGTGCAACTGAGAATGAAGGTAGCTCTCCTTAAAGACGGTGCCCACAGCTGGTCGACATACCAAGGAGGCCTTGACACAGAGTGCCATCTTGGTTAGAGGAGGAATGGTAGAACAGAACATCAGGCCAAAACTTAAATCAAGTTGACTCCCACTTATTTCAAGACCAAAGCTGCTTCAGTCACTAACACCCAAACCCAACCTCCACCCAACCCAAAGTTACCCAAATTACCTTGCCAAGGAACTGAATATGCTTCCAGGAATCAGCTGTGAAGTGATAGCCTTGCAGGAGGAGGGAGAGGATGTAAGTACCAGAAAAGCAGTATTCACTCAGGTATTTCTCCTTTACTCCAACAAAAGATGCCTTTACCTAGAAGTGAAGTGAAGGAAATATCATACTTGTATGGCAAGCACCTCTCCATGGCCCTCTTTTTCACTACTAGACCTGGTGAAGAAAGGAGAAAACCCTTAGTTCACATGTGCCTGAAGGTTGGCCTCTCCCAGGAAGCTTTGGAGTGGTACTGCAGTTTAGCTTCTCTTAAGGAAGCTTTTCCTCCATAGGATTCTATATGTAGTTCTTGTGGTCTAGTAGGTTCAGAAACACTAAGTTTTAGAATCCCTTTCATCCCCTAAACTTGGAGTTTCACAATCACATTTGCATATTAAAAGCTGTGGAAAATACTGCATGAAAGAAATCCATTCACCTTTCTTTAATCAAGAGTTTTTGATATGCTCTTAACCAGAGTCTTTGGCTCAGAGCCTCTGTCAGCATATGAGGACAATAGTGTCATGAAAAGCCTTACAACTCAGTTTAGTCCCTGCACTGGCAGCATCAGCATCTCTTGGGAGCTTGTTAGTCCTCACTCCAGAATTACCAACTCAGAATCTGCATTGTAATGATTCCCAGGTGATTAATATGCATAGTAAAGTCTGAGAAAACAGATCTGGAGCAGAGTTTAGGAAGCATTTTGCTAAGGACTGCTTAAAGTACCAATACCTCACCTTCTATCTTGTCTTTACTTAACCCCTTTTTTTTTTAATCTGGGTCATGCAAAGTGGTTGCTTCCTTGAGTCTTTCATGTGTTTACTCATCCTACTCTGTACTGAAGATACTAAGAGCCTCCCCCACCCCTTGCCCTTACCTGTCCTAACTGTTGATTGACTCCTCTATATATGTAACATTTCAGCAATCAGAATACAGCCACTTCTTCCCTATTCTGAAAGTCTGGTCATCCAAGAGAACAGTGCTATGAGATTCTATGTATACTAATAACTAAGTATTTCTCAGTATGCTCTGGATACTGACATTCAACCCCATGAATTTTTAGCCCTTCTAGGGAAATGCATCCCATTCTTGAAGATCTACCAATGCCCCTTTATATGGGAGGAGTAAGCAGATATTGGTGAGGGACAGAGAACTTGGTACTGTTCCACTGCCCTGGGTGGGTCTCATCCTGCAATCCACCACCCACCCACCCCCACCCCTGCCAAAAAATGTTTCAGGATTTCTCCCAAATGCAGGCCTTTCTGAGCTTACTTCCTGGGCCTCTGAGCAATTCCCCATGTGGCTTACCTGAGCAGACCTACAGGTCTGCATATACATGTTCCCAGCCTAACAATCTGATGATGTAAAAACTTAGATGTGGAAAACAAAGGAAATCTGACATAAATTTTACTCTGAACCGGAATTAATTTTTTTCAAAGAGCAGCTTCAGTCTACTTCCTCAGCAGCCACGTGTTGGCCTGGTCTCAAGTTGCCTTTACTCCAAGATGCTTATCTTCCTCCACAGATCACCACCAGCTGCACAAAACCTCCCCAAAGTGTTTTGTAAACTTAAAGTGCTGAGGCATATTTATTTGAGCAGCTCTTGCTGAAGGCCTTGACCACATTTCTTTCATGTTCTAATGCAGAGAGAATACCTGGAGAGAATGCCAAACCTCCAGGCATAGCTTTTCTTCCCCCTCTGTCAGTGCAGATGAGGACAAGCATCCTTTTTTAATTAATGGAATTTCTTAAGAATGAAACTACCATTCACTTTTGCAACTGTATCAACTTAAAAACAGCTGCTGTTTTGAGCTACCCCTAGATGATCTATCTGTCTTTTATAATCAAAATGGTCCCCTCAGAGGCTGAGGATGGAGAGTGAGCCACAATGTGCCCAGTACCAGGCAGCAACTCACAATGGGTCTAAGGCTGCAAGCCAATCATGAAATCCTGCACCTTGCTGTTGCAGTCAATCTTGGCCAATAAGATATAAGGGGAAGACCTCTGAGGGACTTCTGGGATAGCTTTTTGCTTTCCTATAAAAAGGAACAAATGTATCAGGTTCTGACCTTGAATATGGCTGTGATGCTTGAAGCCATAGCAACCATCTTGTGTCCATGAGGAAATAGGCAGAACAACAGAACTGAAGCAGCAATGGCTGAGATAGAATTGGGCTGCTGACCCCATGCCAGCAGCTGTCTACTGGCCTACTTTGTATTAGGTGAGAAAAATCAGATCTTATTTAAGCTATTGTATGGCAAGTTATCAAGGAATGCTGATGAATTCATTCCTGAATCCACCATCTGTGCTTTTTCTAACACATTTGCTGGATCTTGGTCAAACCAGCTACAAGTTTAAGAGCAGATTTACAGCCTTCACTCTATTGAGGGCACAGGGCAATTGTGATAGCTGCTGTTTCTAGTCACTTACCTCCTCCCAAGGCCTAGAGCAGAAATTTCCCACCATCTCAATCACATTTTCCTGAGAGAGTTCTTCTGATGTCAAGTTTAAAAAATTCATCACAAAGTAAAAAGCTGAAAATGCCTACGAGAGAAAATTGTAGAGTTTTAGGCTGTGTCCAATAGAGAGAGATGTCAACTTGCTTGGCTTAGGGGCATATCCCTAGCACAGGTGCCTCTGTAGAGTAAATTAACACACCAAGTGATAATTGCAGGTCCCAGAGCTGTTTCCTTCCTGGAAGAGGGGCCACTTTGCTGCTGACACACATTTTTAAGCCACTTGAAAGTTACTTTTCTCTACATTTGTAGTGGGAAAGTCAGGGAGAAAGAAACATGGAGAAAGTGGTTAAGAGAGGAAGGTGTTGCAAAAATCCCATTTAAAAATACTGTATATTATATATGAATGTTTAATAAAACTGGAAACTTTGATACAGTAGTATTAAGAGTTATCTCTGGATGGCAAAATTAATAAGTTTTTTTCCCCTTGTGCTTCTTTTTTGCCTATTTTCTCCCATCTAAGTACTAACCAGGCCCAACCCTGCTTAGCTTCATGAGATCAGGCAGGATCAGGCACATTCAGGGTGGTATGGCCATAGACTATTTGCTTATTTTCTATAATGAACATATACTGTTTTCTTAATAAAAACCCAACCTATTCAACAAATATTTATTATAGGTCTACTATGAGCTAGGCACTATTCTAGACACAAATGAAAAGTTTTTAAAAATCATTAGTATTATACATGGGAACTATAGAAAAAGTTAAAAGTACAAATCAGTAAAAAAGAAAGCATTTTATTAAAATGACCCCAAATTCTGCTTAGTGACAACTGCTGTTAAATATGGGATATGGTCCTCTAGCCATTTTTTCCCAATCTATAATATACACATAAACTTTTATTATACTTTATGCCACCCTGTAACTGCCTCTTTTAATGAAGTATGATTTAAAGGGGAAAAATAATTGAGCAGAGCTTGTTATATGAGGTAATTCGAACCCCAGCTCTAGTGCTTTTTGTATCCCTAAAGGGTGCCAGTTTTTAGGGGAAATCATTTTTAAGGTTATAGGAACACATCATTTGTTCATTCAACAAACACTCTGAACTTTTTATGCTAGGCACTGGGCTGAGTCAGAAAGTTTACTGTGATTATTTGAGGGAAACAAAAAGTTGTCCCTGAGCTAGAATGGTTTGGATTAGGGATTATAATTTGCCTTTTGTAAAACTACTAAACCAGAATTGAATATAGAAAGGAAATGTGATTCCCAAACAAGCCAAGCAACAATCTTACCTAATTCTCATAGGCAAAGAAACAAAGTTTTGATGGCAAAGAAACAGGAGGTAGCAGAGATCCCATTGGGGGCTCATGTGACTCAGAAGAGGGAAGATGCCCTCTACCCGGCAACTTCCTGCTGCAGACAGACCTGGTACTTCAATTCCGACTAACAAAAACTCAATAGCAGCTTCTTAAAAGTTGCATTTAAAAAAAAAAATTCTTATACGTATATAACATGTCTAATGTAGCAAAAATTAATAGGTATGAGCATATTAGTCCTTTTCATAAATTTTTTTTTCTAGCTTGATTATTTTCTCCACTTCTAGTCCCAACAGGAGCCCATGAAAAACTTAATATAAAGCCTTCCATTTTGCCCCCAGGCTCATATAATCATATACAAACATATATGTATAAAGGGTTTGTTTTATAAATGAAATTTTAAGCATATTCTTCATCTTGCTTTTCTTACTCAACAATCTTTTGTAGAAATCCCTCTAAGTCAACAGGTGATACTCTAATGGTTACATAAGAGTATCTATGGTGTGGATGTATTAGCATCTTAATTCATTCAACGATTCCCTACTGGTGGATATTCTCTTGATTTCCAGAATTTTCCCTTATGAGCAATGTTGCTATAAGTACCTCTGCACATTTACCCTCTGAACTTGTGTGCTCATTCCTTTGGGAAGCTGAGCTCCCCAGGAACTCTGAAAGGCAGCCTCTATATTCCCTGAACTCAGGAATTCTAGCACTGTAAACATTGTATGCCAGTTGCAGAAAAAAATCTTGGTATGGTGCTATTTCTATGAGCTTAACCAAAGACATTATCTTTGTGAGGATGGATTTAAAAACATGAAATATAGCCAAAATTTTAAAATTTGAAACATAACCAAAATTTGAAATTTTAGGAAGTTACACTCCAATAAAAGTTGTGTCCTAAAAATTAAAATCATTGTAAGAAGAAACAGAAGGTTTTGTGATATAATGTGCTTCCTGTCATAGATATCCCAACTAGTTGAGAGACCTACTATGTGGAGAAATGGTAGTATAGAAGGTATTTCTGCATGAGATATGAGGTTAGATTGCATATGTACTAAAGATTCTTCCAACACTAAGATTCTATAAGAGTTCAGCTGTGGCCAAGGTCAGATTAATGTAGACTCTGTTAGTATTGATAAAGGTAATAGAATGACTCCTGAATTGCTGAGACTTTATTAGAGCAGCTTACAGAAGTGTGTGAATCAGCCAGGCATGGTAGCTTATGCTTGTAATCCCAGCACTCTGGGAGGATGAGACAGGAGGATCCCTTGAGCCCAGGAGTTAGAGACAAGCCTGAGCAACAGAGCAAGAGCTCGTCTATACAAAAAAAATTGTTAAAAAAAAATATCTGGGCACGGTGGTACACACCTGTTGTCCCAGGTACTTGGGAGGTGGAGGCAGGAGGATCACATGAGCCCAGGAGTTTGAGGTTGCAGTGATCTATGATCATACCACTGCCCTCTAGCCTAGGCAACGGTGCAAGTCCCTGTCCTCCTGCCCCCACAAAAAGTGTGTGAATCGCTTGATAGCTCCCATAGTTAATCTCAAACCTGTGAGTCAACTGGTGGAGAATAAATTTGTGACTTTTTTCAAGATGCTGATACCAAAAGGGAGATCACAGGATGACTTGAAATATCAGAGATGCCTGAAAAATCTAAGCTGAAAATGAAAGAAAGCCAGAAATATCCCATTTCCAGATCATCATATACTTGAAACTGCCAAGATCTTATAAAGAGGTGAAGTGGAGGCTGGAAAGACATTTGCTTTTTAAATAGTAATGAAACAAGATTCAGGAAAGAAGAGAAGAAATATGTCAGAACAGCTGCTGACACTTTAGGCTTACTAATAAACCATATCTTGAGGACATAGAGCCCATGTCAGAAAAGGGTACTATGCTTTATGCAAAATATGCTCTGGGTGATGATGTGAACAAAAAATACATGAGTAAATGTGCTTCTATTAGTAAGTTGTTTGGGGGCTGGGACCCACACTCTTATGCTTTGGTTCCACTTTTGCTTTCTTAGAATACCAGGGGCAAGTCTCCTTCCTGGCCCACTTGGGAACCCATTGAATTACTTGCAGGTCTCTCAATGTATTTGATTCGTTCCCATCTTCAGGTTTCTATGCATGCTGGTCCTTTCCCTAGAATATTCCAAATACTAAATTTCTTTTACTGAGCATGTGTTAATACAATGTTCCAGGCATGCTGACCTAGAAAAGGAAAGATTAAAAAGACAAACCCTGCATTCCAGGCCTCAGGATATTGTGAGGGAAACACACATATGAACGTAGAAAGACAATACTCATTCTTGCCAGCCATACTTCTGCCACTCTTAGCTTTCACAGAAATACAATACACAGCAAGAAGATAGCATCTAGTCACCTATAAAGGAAAACCTATAAGACTAAGTGGACTTCTCAGCAGAAACCTTACATCCCAGAAGAGAATGAGATGCTATTTCAAAGTACTAAAAGAAAAAACCTACCAACCAAGAATTTTATCTCCAACTAGAATAAGCTTCATAAATGTGGAAGAAATAGTCTTTCCCAGACAAGCAAGCCCTGAGGGAATTTTTCACCACTAGACAAGCTTTACAAGAAATGTTGAAAGGAGTCCTAAACATGAAAACAAAAGGTTAATAGTCACTATCATAAAAACACTCTAAAGTATAAAACTCACGGGTCTTATGAAATAATTACACAAAGGGAGAAGAGAAAGGAATGAAATGACAACACAACAGAACTCTGACAAACCACAGAGATAAACAGAGAAAAACAAAATAAGTATAAAACAACTAGATAATAATGAACAATATGACAGGAACAAAACCTCACATATCAATATTAACCTTGAATGTAAATGGATTAAATGCTCCACTTAAAAGATGTACATTGGCAGAATGGATAGAAAAATACGATCTAACTGTGCTGAGTACAGAACTCAATTTACCTATAAAGATACATATAGACTGAAAGCAAAGGGGTAGAAAAAGATATTCCATGCAAACACAAACCAAAAGCAAACAGAAATAGCTACACTTATACAAAACAGACTTTAAATCAAAAACAGTAAAATAATAATAATAATAATAAAGAAAGTAATTACATAATGATAAAGGGATCAATTCAGCAAAAGGGTATAACAATCCTAAATATATACGCACCCAGCACTGAGGCACCCAGATTCATAAAATAAATATTACTAAACCTAAGGAAAGACATAGACAGCAATACAACTATAGTGAGGGGCTTCAACAACCCACTCATAGCATTAGACAAAACATTAAGACAGAAAAAAAAGAAACATTGGACTTAAATTGTACTTTAAACCAAATGGACCTAACAGACATTTATGGAACATTCTATCCATCAACTACAGAATATACATTCTTCTCATTAACACATATTGGCTGGATGCAGTGGCTCATGCCTGTAACTCCAGCACTTTGAGAGGCTAAGGCAGGAGGATTGCTTGAGGCCAGCAGTTCAACTCATTAGCATGTGGAGCATTCTCTAAGACAAACTATAAGTTAGGCCACAAAACAAGTATCCATCAATTTTCAAAAATACAAATTATATCAAGTATCTTGTCAGATCACAGTGGAATAAAACTAGAAATCATTATCAAGACAAATTTCGGAACCATACAAATATATGGTAATTGGGGGGGATGGCAGATTAGTGGTGACCTCCTAGCTCACTGCTCCCAGAGAAGGAGGTGAAGAACTCGGACAGCTACACATGAGTAGACTACTCCCCCCAAGAACAGCG